TATGTCGCTGTGAGAAGTCGCAGAAATCGGTGTACTAACATACTAGACAGCTTATCTCGGAAACGGTATGTTTGCTCGCACTCGCACATCCCCGGTCCAGGTGGCAGCAACCAACTTCATACCCCTGCCAGACTGGCAATTAAAGGTCAGTTCCATTGAATGGCATTTGTGTGATGGGCGAATCAGCTGTGCGCGTGCAATGTGACAAATGCGTCCTGTGCACGAACACAGTTGACTCTCACTTTCCCCCCTAATGTCTCATACAACGCCTACACACGCCGGAGCGTCGCGCGCACTGATTGGCCAATCGCTCAATTGTCATTCGATAGAACTGACATTTAATTGCCAGTCTGACAGGGGTATTACATAACTTGCAAAATTCAGTTTCGCTTTCGCAGGCTATAACAGTGTGATTTATCTCTAAAGTACGTCTAAGTAGCGCATTTTATTTCTCAAACTATCAAAGAAAAGGTTTGCCCTAGTCAAACAAATACAGTCAAGAAAAGTTGTATGAGTGACCCATTGGGAAGTTCGATTAAGCAACAAAACTGACCCTGAGAAAAGTGGCAAAATGCTTTTCCTTGCCTATTTTTTTTTTAATCATACATTTTAGCGCTTTACGACGGTGTTGTCTTTTTTTTATATATATATTTAATAGGCGTCTCTCCAATGCAATGTTAGTTTTTGTAACTTTTCACCTTCTTTGATAATTTCTTATATTAAATACACAGCCTACCCACTCATATGTGTAAATTATAGCGCTATAGCTTGCGAAACTGATGTTTGCAATTATTTTAGAGTAGGTTGCTGCCATCTGGACCGCCGGTAGACCATCAATTATGGTAAATCTGGAAGTTGTCATAAATTGTAAATAAAGAATAGCCCTGCAACCTCACACCACTGGCTGGGTTCAGTATATTGATATAACAATCCTTATCATACTGATGTTGCTGGCTATCGTCCGCTGTATTCCTAAAATTTCAGCGGTCTACCCACCCGAGTTTCGGTCAGTTTCCCAGTTTTGACAGGAGTCGCATCAATAATCACCATTATCGGTGCGTAAATATGATCAAGTGAAAGTCATCTTTGAAATTGCTCCCTGAAAACCCTGCATTTTGTATACCATGGTGGCATACTTGATTGTTTAGAATGCATATAGAGTGCTTTCACTAATTTCAATGCAATGAACCTTCATTCCAGGGGAGACCTTCGCCTCTACTGGTTTTCAGTTCAGGAGGGCCCACAACACGGTCTCCAAGATAGTGCACGAAGTGTGCATAGCTATATATGAAGTTTTGGCACCTGACTTCATCAAGGTAGGTTTATCTCGTAAACATACCATCACAATTAAAGCCACACAGTGGTGTCAGAACAGAAGCAGAGGGACAAGCTTTTGACACACAGATATGGTGACCTAACCCCTTGTGTCGGGCAATCACAGTTTTAACAAAACTGTGATCTAGCCAAAAGGAAAGAGAAGTATCAAAAAAGGTAAGAGAAGTGTCAAAAACATAAGTTTGACTGCCCTGGACCCCCCTCCTCACAGTTTTCCCCCACCCGTCTTACCATCTTCACTTTGTAATCTCAACCGTTCAAGGGCACAGGCATCGTCCTGCTGGCCACCATGGTCTCGACCTACATCTTGACTAATGCACGTCATCTGCTCCTATCTGGTCAGTGGTGTTGGTCTCAACCCGCTCAGCCCCAGTGCAACACCATAGCCCTCCACATCTAGTGGCATTGGCGGCCTAAGCTCTCAGTCACTCCATAACGACATGTTCAGCTGTCTCGTCCTGCAGGCCAAGTGTCCTGAAGAAACCGTGTCTACACTCGTGTTTTGCATGCCCTGAACACTCCAATTCGCACCTCGCACAGCATTCCATTGCCTCTCGAGTTGTTGGTGACCTCGGTTTACTGTTGACTTGCCTCAAGTGCCACCTCCGGGGCTTGAACGACCATTCTATAATAACCCATAGACCATCTCATGGCTCTTGTATATAGTATTCATGACATAATGACTGTCATTAGATGCGGCACTTTGGGCCTGTATGGTGTGGGCTGTTGCTTTTTTTTTTTTTGCGAAACCGTGGATCTCCTGGTCAAATAAAGATTGCTATCACTATCACTGATACTAGCACCATCACGGGAGTGACGCTGCAGCATTGATTTTTCTGTTATGTTGTACTTGCAATTTTGTGCATCCCATTAATGTGTAAGGGTCACCAGAATGTCTACCCAGGCTGCACAGTGCACTGCCTGTAAATTTGGCGAGTCCACTTACTGGGCGCACATGACTTTTTAGTGTTCAATTCAGTAAGTAGACAAAGTTCCGTTTAGTAGATCAGGTGTTTCCTTTCTATGAGGGTTTCACAGTTGGCTGACATGTCTTCCTCTTTCTTCCAAGCTACCATCAACGCCGGGCGAGTGGAGACAAGTGTCCCGGGGGTTTGAAGAGCTCTGGCAGTTCCCGCATTGCCTGGGCGCCTTAGATGGCAAACATGTGACCATCTGCCCACCTCTGGGTACAGGAGCCATGTACCGGAACTACAAGGGCACATTCAGCATTGTGCTGATGGCTCTTGTAGATGCCGACCTCAAGTTCCTGTACGCAGATGTGGGCAGGAATGGACGGATGAACGATAGCGGTGTCTGGGCTGCCAAAGCTTACGGGCACATATCGACCGTGGCTCTGCTGGTTTCCCGGAGCCAGCACAGCTGCCAAACTCATCGAAGGTGGCACCGTTCGTTATTATTGGTGACGAAGGGTTTGGACTCAAGCCGTACCTGCTGAGGCCCTTTCCAGCAGCTGAGCTAAAGGATCCAGAGACGATGTTCAACTATCGGTGAGTACAGACTGTTCTACCGTCGCTGTGCCACTATCAGTAAGCCTTGCCTTGCATTTGCCCTGTAGTGAGAATGACAATACATAGCTTTCATGTCGCATCACATTGGTTGCTATGCCCAGGTACTAGATGTGCCATTAATACAGTGGAAGGTATGTTGTCACGCGCATCCCCGAGCATTTCACCTCGTGCTACTAATGCTCTTGAAGATTCGCCGCATGTGCAAAGGCCCCATTTCTGGGTACCGTGCTCCATCATGAAAACTGACGTGCGAATATTGATTTCTCAATCAAATTGAATCGCACATCCCCCTATAAAGCTACCTATAGCACAACTATCTACCAACCAAGAGTTTTTGGCATTGCACATATTATGACTGCCTATGGTGGTGTCCACCACCGTTGTCTCACATAGCTGTCATAGGCAATGCCTGGGAATAATACAATGCCCTACATATTCTTGTCCTGCCCTACATATTCTTGTCCCTTGGAGATTGGACTTGCCGGGGATCCAGATCTAGAGATGCCTGCTTTGTCATCCACTTGTCTGAAGTTCTGATGTTGACATGAGCTTTTGAACCTGTACTCCGTGTCACTAGTTGCGTGCAAGACAGGCGAAGGCAACACCAGACGAGGGGAGAAAGGGAAAGCACTAGCGAGTTCGTTTGACACGCACTGGCACCGTTCGAGTTCTCCCCCAAAATGCATCGCACTCGCAGAGTGTTGCACGGAGAACTGGACTCAATCGATCCTTCCAAATGCACCGAGTGCAGAAGACTGAGGCTGCCGCCATCTATGTTGTAGAAAGGGTACCGACCTCAAACCGAAACTAGCGCCTTTTTGTTCGGAGTGATGGGTGGGAATGAGAGAGTGCAGTCGCTACCAACGTTTATCTACAAACGTTGGTCGCTGCAACCTGTATAGTTTATAGTTGCAATGAGTTCAAGCAACTCGGCTGTTGTAGAGATAGTTACAGGCGTCGTAAATTTCTGCAACCAGCTGTTTACAAAGCAGCTGGTTGCAATCTTTCAATTCTTATAACCGTTTACACTGAAGAAAACTGATGATGCTGTCCAAGAAGAAGCTTGATTTGTTTGACCATGATATTATGCGTGAGCCACTGAAAGGGTAAGGCTTAAAACTAGTCCGTTGGATTATCCAGCAAAACTTTTCGTGGGACCTTCGATTTCGATGGTCATTACAGGTGAATCAGATATTAATTAGCCCTGGTGAGGGCGTCGAGAACGAGAGCTTTCTCGAACAAAATACGACAGGGCAAGTTAGCTGACATAGGTAAATGTTAAACATGATGATGCTGCCCAAGTCTCGGGTAAAGTCACTGTGTTTAGCATTCTCTGATGCTTATTGAGCAGTCAGAGGTTTCTGCTGGGGGAGTTTTGTCGACAAATGTTAAATTTTTCACCCCCACACGGAAGGTGATAAACATCTCGGGGGCCACTGATACGTTTGTTCTGAGAGATTCTAACACACTGGTAAATTTCAGCGTTTGTACGGCAACAGAGCGACTTAACGAGCACTTGGCCGGTGCTTTGTGCGTGAAAACCGTGGGAGCAAAATCTGGGTGGCCTCGATCAGACGATGGCTTCCATGCACATAAGAACCTCGGGACAGAGATTAAAATGGAAGCCACGCTTGCCTTCAAGAAAGTGCTTGCCGCACAAACGGTCGTCCTCATGAGGCGACCATTCTTTTCGATCAACGGATATTCTTCAAATTTTGCGCTTTTTAAAGCCTGCCTGGAACTTGTGGCAACTCAGTTCACTACTTTTGCTGTACCTTTCGGTGAAATTAACGGCTGCACAGCTTTGCGGCATGCTGAAATGCTATGACGCCCATGGAAAATGTGCGCCCTTCTACCCACGCCACCGGCTCCGGCGCGATCGCAGCCGCACCGCAGCTCTATAATGTCAAGCCCACGTGTCGGTCTATATGCTACACTAGGAATCAAGTTGAAGACAGCTAGCAGTTCTGCCATGGCAATAGGAAATCAGTACTTATTGAAGGTTTTTAAAAGAGCATGCCTGCACTTTTAAAAGTACAGTATGAAGGGTCATTAGTGATGCAAGATTATTGTTTCTTTTTCCAGACTCTCCCGGGGACGCCGCATTGTGGAAAACAGCTCCGGAATCCTCCGCAACCGGTTCCAAGTCTACGGGCACCCTCTTCGGCAAAAGCCTCACAGGGCTGTCAAAGTTGTGAAGGCAACAATTGCATTGCACAACTTCCTCCGGACGAAGAACAGTTCAAGGGGGAGGTACACGCCTCCAGAAAGTCTCGACGTTGAGGACGTCCTCACAGGTAAATGCCCAGACACTCTGTCCTAGTGCTAACGTTGGGCATAAGAATGGTGATGTGCAATTCAAATGAACTCCTGCGCCCACCATTGGTTTTTCAGGTAATTGATGTATTTGATTTGTTATAACAGCAATTACTGTGTTTTCTGAGGTGGGTGGGCATGGGTGGGCACATATTTTTGAAAACGAAACTAAACCAGGCAACACCAAGTGGAACTGCTTAAGACTAGAAGGCACATTTAAGCATGTGCCTTCCAGTCTTGCCCGACATAAGCAGGTCAGCCTTTGTCAGGCAACAGTGACAAGCACTTCAGTTTCGTCCTTTGCTGGCTGTCGCAGCATATACGGGTTTCACCAAACTGTTGCCTCCTGTCCTTACACAGCATTGTAGAGCTTGTTTCTGGGTCGACGATCACAATCCTCTTTTATAGGCCTTTTCTTAAAACATAAATAACCAACTGTGAACCACAATTTGCATCATTCACCTTTCAGTTCAGTTTCTCGGGTAACTGTCCGTAGGCTTTACATTTTATTTGATTATCCTTTAAAGGGATACTACAACGAAATTTCGGCGCTCATTTTTTGGTCTATATGTGTTCAAAAAAGCACCATCAAATCGAACATACCAATATCTTGTTAAAAGTCACGAAAAGGAATTTTAAAACGAATTAAACGAATAGCAAAGAGCACCTGGTGGATGTCGCTAACGCCTCGCTTGTAATGCCCGTCTAGCAACCTTGGCAGCTAGTGACGGAGGTTGTCTCGTCTCCGGCCACGACGAGAGAAGAGGGGCAGGAGGAACTCCCCTCTTCAGGAGAATGCCTTTTGTGTGTCGCAGAAGTCGCTATTGTCCCCTTACAAGATTATAGAAGATTAACCCGTCACTCAAAATTTGTACAAAAGCAGCCGTTTCGGTGGCTGGAACGACTAGGCCATCCTCTCCACGTCAGCCTCGCCGTAGCTTTGCTCGTCTTGAGACGACCTACGTCACGATTGCGTTGGATCTCACGTGGTCTCCGCTGGGCCTTCTCCGAGCGCTTGCCAGAGTGGGCCGTTTATAACGAAAAATGCAGCCACCAGGCTCAAAATACAAACGTGCGATTGTCATTTACGGATATTGTAGATCATATTCAACCTATTTTTGAACACGACGGGAATATTTCAAATTTCGTTGAAGTATCCCTTTAAATGTTTACCCTAATTGCAAAGGCATCGGCAGGATATCACCAATTCGAACAGTAGCTCAGCAGTGCGGCGGTTTCCTTGGCAGACGCAGAGAGTGCCGGCACTCGTACAGAGCCCAGTTGCTACAGGGGTACGAAAGTTTCTGCCACTGATGTTGCTGCAGTGGAGGAGCCGATATTTGTTTCGCCACAAGCGCAAAAACGTAACTCGGGGTTGCTGACTTAGTAAAAAATAGTCGTAACACGGAAATCAAAAGAATTTAGTGCAGTTTCCCTTTAAAGGGTCGCTTAAACGGTTTTGGGTTTGATTTTTACAGACTGTGCACAAGAAAACTAACAGAAGAGCGACCCAAGTACACATATGTAACGCTACTGGGACGCACATCTCGCCACTGGTACATAATCGGCAGCTGTAGTCCTTGCAAGAAGCTTGGTCGTATTACCTTTCACATTGATCACAATACTACATAGCCAAACACCTCTTCTGGAGCTACCGCAACGAAAGCAAGCCATTTTTGCTATTGTGATCCTCCTGTTGCCTTGCAATAGTTGTCCGCTTGAGTCGTCCCATTCAATGCTATGTCACCCTTGTGCCACTTACGTCTCGCCTTCCTATATTATGTACCCCTTTCCCTAGCAGCAGTTCTAGCTTGTAGAAATGTAGCATAAGATAAATGAGAAAATAATCAGAGTATAGGCAACCTGGTGTAAGTTTAATATGATGGCTAACATGACATTGAGGTGGGAAAAGAAATGGAGCGAAAAAGACAGAAAAAGGGGACACACCTCAAATAACATAGCCCCTTTAGAGTTTGATAGTTCTTTTTGCGGTTGATAATGGACATGTGAGGTCCGTGCTCTGGAGCTTGAGAGTTTGGCACTCCGTTCAGTAAACGGAAAGGAGCGCCGTCGGAGACTGACACTCGATTGCACTCTTTATGCACCCAGCATTTCTCAAAGCGTGAGTGACTTCTTCACGCTCCATGATGTCACATCCACAAATAAAATGGCTGCACTGACCGAAACGCCGAGACGTAGGGTGCCCCCCGAACTGCTGGCCCTTTTTATTTGAATAGTGCTTAATCCAGTAGGTAAAAACAATTTGATTTGAAAGCCAAGACAGCAACTAGCGTTCCAGAAAAGGTTTGTTTGTGCATCTCGCCTGAAAACGAATACATCTATCAAACGGTAGCTTGCCAATAGAACAACGACAGAAAAGTTGTGGAGAGAAAAAGACAGTCGAACCGTGGCCCTTTTTAGAATGCTTAGCCCAGCGAATAAAGATACTTCAATTAAAGAGCCGGAACCAGTTAACGTTGCGGAAAAGGTTTGTTCATACATCTCGCCTGAAAACGAATTGGCATGGCATCTATTGAACGGCTGTGTGCCGGTATCGACATAGTAGATCGATGGATTCAGTCTTGTGTAGCAAGATGGAACCACGGGACATCTGACAAGTTTGACAGTTTTTGCGTCGACAAGCGGGTTCAGGAATGTTCTTTAATTTAAATCTGAACAATATGCATGGTCAATGAATAGCTCAGTCGAAAAACTTTCCGCATACATGCTCGAAAGAAGTCTTCAGACTTTTCACAAATATTAAAACAATCATATATAAACTTCCTAACGTCAGTCCTTTTTTTTTAACTTCTGCGTTACAGAGGCCTTCATTAATTTATGTTCAAAATAATTTTGGCTTCTGCCACTCGTATCCATGAGATGATGGGTTCATCAGAACCGTGCTTTTGGAAGTGGCTCATGCGGCTCGTCTATAGTTTCGGTGTGTTGCACTCCCGTATCTGTGTTGCACTCCCGTATGCTCCATTTAGCTGCTGCGTTTGGAGTTTGAAAATTGGAGTGTCGGAGTAGGAGTAAACGAGTGCAAACTTAGCGCGCCCAATGAGGATTTAATTTCATATACTGTTAGCATATGCCTATTCCATTTTACAAAATGCTTTTTATTCTTGCTCTACTTCAGGAACAGTACGCGGTGGCACATGGAGGAAAGACGTGAACGACAAGGTAGTCTTCCCTGTGCAACGCATTGGCGGCAAGCCATCAACCGACGCCAAAGCCGTTCGGACGGTCTTCAAGGAGTACTTCTGGGATGAAGGCCAAGTCTCTTGGCAGTGGAAGTTACTGAAGTAATGGTATGTGTCATTTGTTAAGACAGTCTCTTCCAAGCTTTGCTACTTCACAATCCACGAAAAGGATGGCCCCCACATTTCTCTAATGCCATAAGATTTCCTTATTTTCCAATGTATAGGAATCTGACACATATTACAAGTAATACCGAGCATTTTTTTGATAGCTAATATAATACAGTAACAGTAAATTAACAGAGCTTGGGTGGTTATGGATTCTGAGCTGAGATCTGTCCTTTGTTTTTATCCATACTTATCCAAACAAATTTTGGATAAGTATGTTGTGGTGTAGATTAATAAATAGGTGATGTTCTGCTGGAAATCTACATCCACTGATCTGTACCTTTTCCCTGCACTGAATGTAACTTACGAAAAAGTGTCTGGCAGTGGTTTCCCCAGGAATTAAAATTAGGGTGTGTGTCTGGGGGGAGAGAGAGGGAGAGAAAGGGGGGGAGGAGGGAGTTCAGCACACGGAGGCAATTATTTTTCTGTTTTCATGGGTGCCATCAGACAAACTAATATCCAATTCGTCTGGGCCCGCACCGCGGTAACCGGACAAAAGCTCACCGGACAAAAGCTCACCCGTTTTTTTCACAGACCCGGACAAAAGCTCACCTCTTTTTTTTTCGCTACCCGGGCAAAACACGGACTGAAATAAAATGTGGACGCAATGGACATTGCACCATATTTAGGTGAACTTGTGCCCCATCCCACGCAAGGGTTTACTACGGTTGATCGAATGCCATTCCGTCGAAACATGTTTTAGAAAACGGGCACGTTTTATTGAAGCAGGGTTTAGAGAAAGCAGAGCCTCAGTTTAGAGATATGCCGTTTATCGAAATGGGGACGCTATTTAAAAAAGGCTTTTCTACTTCGCGCGTGTATTACTGGTGTATTAATCCAAACCCCCTGCTGTGCTTCTGCCGCTTCGCCGGCGGCAGTCTGCGGCGGCTCATTACAAAAATGTTAAATCACCTGACTTATCCATACACGCCGCTTCGCGGTGGCCGAATTCGCTAAAAGGAGGTTTATCGCCTTTTTCTCTAAACTTGGTTTCTCTATAAAACCAACACGAAATTTTTTCCTGGTGAGCTTTTGTCCGGGTCTTTTAAGAAATGGGTGAGCTTTTGCCCGGGATTCCGCACCGCACCCGTCCAGTGCACTAAACTCTTTCCACTTTATACACGAAAGGCTGGCGGGGAGAGAAGGACGCATCCCTCTCGCCTATAGCCCTCCGTGTACGACGAACCGCACTGCATCGTGCGATACGGGTCCAGACGAATGGGCCATAAGGTGGGGTGTACACCCCCCCCCCCCCCACCCTTCTAGGGGGTCGGTAGGGAAATCACGGGTGTCTTGTACTACTCAACAAGTAAACATGAAGAGAGCTCATATGGAGACTTCCTTTATTCTGGCGCAGCCACCACAACGACCTGTGAAGATATGGCTGCTTCCACGAGGGCCTTATGCGCGGCAAGCATGCCCAGCTGCCTGCTGGTACCCCTTGGTATCGTCCGAGCAAGCCCCTCCATCACCAGGCCAAAGCCCCGACACTCATCAGGCTCCACCTCCCTGGCAGACTTGAGGCTGTTTACAGCTGCCTGCAGCAGTGCCGCCTTGTTTGTCGCCAGTTCCTCCGTGCTGTGACGGCGGCTCCTTTTGGCCGGTGCCTCAGGTGGTGGGCTTTCGTCTTCGGACCTGTAGTCATCGGGCACATGGCAGGAATCCTGCAGACAATTTGTGTTGCATCTTATCTTTTTCTTTCATTTGCAAGTGTTGAACTAAAGAGAACTTTCAGTGGATGTTATGTGCAGATTTTCACACAAGTGTTAAACAAAATATTGGACTTTTAGTGTATGTAACATGCAGTTTTTCACAAAAACAGTTTAACATGTGTAGTTAACAAGGCCATCATGATTCCACAAGGTACTAATTGCCGAAGTAAAACCTAAGGCATAGGGAGGGGCTCATACACTCAGTGAGACAAAGATATCTCTGCAGTTGTTGTGGAACACTGCTGCAATCCTCCCATATTTGGAGGTGCTGACATCAACAGTGATGGGTATTATAATAATCTTTTAAGTGCTTTTTTAAATATAATTTTCTCAATTTTTGTGTGAGGGCTATAGCATGCAGATCTGCAGCACCTTTTGGCAAATATATGGCCATATGTAATGAGTACTCCTCTCCGTCGTGGGGCTAAATATTTGGGCACCGTAGGCGTCATACCGTTTGGTCATGAACTCGATTTTTTAGCGATCCTGGGCCCCCGAAATATATGCTGCAAGCACCTACTTTTCTCGGTCAAGGGGGAAAAGTCCCCTCGGTTAAGGCACTCACCATATCCTCTTGGGAAACATGTACTGCTTCAGGCGCCTCGGCAGTCGACTCACTTGGAGCTTCCGGTGCACCACCGGACAAAAACTTCATCTTCTTAAAGTGCACCCATTTTGGGACATGGACATCGTCGGCCCCAGCACCAGAGCGTTGCGTGTCTTTTACCTTCCGGTTCTCTCTCTGGTACTGGGACCGGAGGTTCGTCCACTTGTTCTTTACTTTGTCAACTGCAATGTATTGAAACAAAATTATGACACCTTCACAAACAGCAGCACAATTTTGAGGTGTTGAATGCTCCAAAGTGTGTTGATGTCAAATCTCCGAAATTTATGCTAATGTGTTTACTCAGTCATTCTTGAATAAAACTGGTGTGTCTGCTGATCTAAAGAGATGCTTACTTCTGTGCAGTGGCGTAGTCGAGAATTATTTTCGGGGACGGGTTGGGATTGTTATGACTAAGGGGGCGGGGGGGGGGGGGGGAGGGGAAGGGAAGGGAAGGGAGGGAGGGAGGTGGGGGGGGGGGGCTTTGTTTCATCTTTGCTTGTAGTAGTCGATGTACTGTACAATTCACCGGTACGAACACGGCCGTCCCCAACCCCCCGGCTAGGTAGAGCAATTCGGTAGTCATCCAATATTTGTGTTCCTTTACTAAACAAGATTTTAAAGAAATATTTTCAGAAAAAGAAGGGGGGGGGGGGGGATTCCCTAAACCATCTCCCTGCCTTCGCCACTGCTTCCGCGAGCACCAAAAATGCGGCCGTCGTGCGGTAAGGATAGATCTATTGCTAAATTACCCAAGCATCAAGGAGAATACAGAAATTAGTGTTCCACGCGCACGCCTTCCCCGTATAAAGCATTTGAAGTAATAACCAAAATAAAGAGTTGACGAACGCGCGTGCAAGATGCAATTTGTTTTAGGCATTTGCATTAGAAAAGTTACTACCGCCGAGTCCAGCACATGCGGCGCGTGGAACACCAATCCCTGCGTTCTGCTCGATGCTTGGGTAATTTAGCAATAGGTCTATTGCGGCTCTGGATCTTTTTGATGATTTCTGACATCGGGAGCAAAATGATAAACGAGTACTCACTCCTGTCGCCGAACCCCAAGGCGCCCGTGATGTCGGCGAAGGCCCACTCCTTTAAGTTTTTTTTATGGTAATCTGGATGTCGGATATCCCACAGGAACCGGCGATCCTCGATCATTTGTATTAAGATACCTTCTAATTCAGAATCGAATTCGACACCATTCGCGGCCATCGTTCGTGCGGTGTGCGAGTAGGCTTTTCGCACAAAAAACGATTCTGGCCGTTGAAAACTTGAAATCCCACTGATCAGTGGTATCAGTGTCGATGGTCATTCCGTCGCGCCCGTGATCGATTATTTAATAAATTATTCGAAGAGAAAAATAGCCGTCTCCACTTCAACCATGTTTGTCGAAGCGTTTTCGCCCAAAGAGCGAAACACGAAAACCGTGTCGTCCGACTCCGTTTGTCTGTGTATTTTGAAGTGTTTTGTTGACAACTCCAGTCCCACTAGGAATTAAATTTCCTTGTCCCCGTGTTCTTCGTCGTGTCCGCCAGGTGGGACGGCGGACTCCGGTGGACTACGACAAACAGGCTGTCTGTCGATGTCTTTTGTCGCTCGGTGTCGTGTGTCGCTGTCGTTTGTCGTTGTCTGTCGTTCTAGTGGGACGCAGCCATAAAAGGAACACGGTGGCGAGCGCTCGCCGAACATGACGGCGCCTCAAGCATCTACATCCTCGGCGGCCACAACCTCGGCAATGGCGAAACCTGCCCGTCCAAGCAAGACACCGCAGACGAACTAAGGGCCCGGAAGAACGCAGCACAACGAGCGAGGAGGCAGGCAGCAAAATCCACCATCGTTGCCAAGTCTCCGGATACACGGCGGGAGGAACGAGCAGCGGCGCAACGCGCTTGGAGACAGAACAAAGCCTTTCGAAAACGTGAGGCGCCAGCAGACCGCGATACAAAGCGTCTCAGGTGTAAAGAGGACGAGACTCTTCGACAACGCAAGGCAGAAGCAATACGTCGCAGGCGGCATGCTTTCGCATTCACAACTCATAAGAAGTGCTTAGGTGTCCTTGGATTTTTTTCTTGCTAGCCCTCTTTAAGGCGACGACTGTGTAGGTGGTCTTTTCGGCTGAGATCATCATGTTTGTTTCCTGCATAAAGTTCATGATGACATTCAGGACTTTTTGAAGTCGACTTTCTTAAATGTTAGGTGCGCCTTTGTTGATCCATAAGGTGACGTCGTCAGCGTATATAGTGTAACGTACGTCTCATATTGCCCACCAGGCGGAATGCTATCACTCTATAAAAAAAGCCCGTGCGTCTACTTTCTCGCACAACACTTGGAGAGCCAATCACCGCAACTTGCGGAGGCAGCTCAGCTATTGACGATGCCCAAACATATGTTTAGACCAGAAAACGCACTCTGACTTGTGGCATTGAGCAATGCAAGCCTGCACGAGCTTTCTTTGGATTGTAGGTCAGCCATGGCCACGTTAAATAATGCTGGGGGGATGACCGTTCCTTAGGAACTCCTACCGTGTTTCTTGTAAAGGGACTCGTGGTGCCTTCAATGTCAACTTGGAATTGGCGTTAGTGAAGGAAGGATTTTGAAAAAAGTTTAGTACTGTTCACGTAGGTCTCGATTTTTTTCTCCTCGAATGACTTTTTCGTGTAGGATGGAGTCGAACGCTTTTGTTTATGTCGATTGCCACTATTGTACGAGGCTGTACGGTATAGGTTACAATTTGGTGATATCATTGTGAATCATGGCTAGACTGCCTTGTGTGGACAGGTGTGGACGGAATTAAATTTGCACAGAGTGTAGTCTAATGTGTGACTCTAGGATCTAGGTTATTCTGGATCCTAGCAAGAACCATGCGTTTTATTACTTTACATATGTTGGAGGTGAGGAAGATGGGCCTGAGGTTTTGGATGTCATTGTTGGGTTTGCCTGATTTCGGAATGGATATTACGGTAAATATCTTCCAGAAATTGGGGAGTCGACCGAATTTCCATATCTCGTTGTACTTAATTATAATAATAATATTAATAATGACTTTATTTCCATCGAACGTTGATGGTGGCGATCAAGGAAAAAAGCTGTATGGCACAGCTTGACAAGTCCTTGACCGCCTACAAAGCACAGTAGTGGCAACGCAAAAACAAAATTCACAAATTTTGATTCGGTTCCGAAATCGCGAACGGTTCAGCTTTTCCGTTCTGTGAAATCGTACGTGAAATTTGACATATTTTAGCGAATCGTCAAACTGGCACAACCGTGTGAACGATGATGATGATTGTGTTTGACGGTGGCGCCATCTTCTAGTAAACATGTGAAACATTCTGCAACGTGTAAATCCGTGGCGGCTCGTGTTTACGGCGTGCGACTGATGTAAACAAGACGGCCGACGTAACATTTGCCGGTAGGAATTTCAAGAACTGCGAAGCTAGATAGAGTAAAAAGTATCTGAACGACTGTAAAGGTATGTGGTGTGTCTCCGTCATCTTGAACTTGAAGGATCGTTCACGTTGTTTGCCGTCGAACCAAACTATTTCGTCTGCTCGCGGACGCCACGGCAGCTAGTCTGCCCGCAGATCGCAAAAATTTTCAAGCATGCGCAGTTTACAGCATTCACGATCGCTTACCTTTGTGAGCAGTCCTGGAATTGATTTGGTTCGGACTCTCGAATGAAGCAGAGTAACATGATGGCAAATCGCCTCCTGCTGTCCTAAGCCTAACGCTCGGCTGGGCCGGCGAAGTCAGTTTCCGAAGCGACTGCCATCTCTTTTTTTACCCGAGTCGTGAACGGTGCTGGCTGCGTTGCGGTGACGACTCCAGCGGCCGGAATGGGAGAAACGAACGAAAAGAGCTTCCCAAAGTCCCGAACGACTTGCGCACGCGTGCGCAGTGGCGTCGCCGATGCGTTCGAGGGCGAACCGTTCGTGTGGAAACGACCTGCTAAAACTCCCTAATGTCTTGTTCCATTACCGATAGACGTTTGCTCGCCGTTGGTGGGATTATATTGTTATTGCCAGTCTGAGTTTACGCGATTTGTTGTACGGAAAATTTGCAGTTCATGTGCGGCTAATCTGGTGCTCTCTGGAACCTTTCTGAATACCATGAGTGGAATGGGTTGACGTTGTAAGGTGTTGCCCATGCTTCTCGTGGGGAAGGGGGGGGGGGGGGGGTTCGTCCATGACTGTGAGGAGTTCGGTGCAGGGGGTTGTAAGTTCATTTCTGTCATGTTGATAGGAGTTCTTTTTCCCTGGGGCTTCTGAGACGTGAGTCTTTTCGGGGGAATTTTTGCGCTTGGTGCAGTCGTTACTTATGGCGATATGGGGACCACCGCAGTTTATGCATTTCGGCTGTAATAGTTCGCATCCGGACTCGCTATCTTGAGTGCGAGC